TTCTTTCGAAATGTTTAAAAAGAGAAAGCCATTCACCTCTGACAATTCTTTGATGAGAAAGGTAACTACCAACTCAATATACATATTCCTAAACCAAAATTAAATAAAAATTAAAGGCATTTTTAAAAAATGAAGTAGGAAAAACGGAATTAAGCAACATCACTGTCCATCTTCAATACCATTTTCATTAATTTAAAATTTATACACCTTTGTTTAAAAATTCTCTTCTTTACATTTTCATACACACTTGTTGATGATTTCCTTAAATTGAAATGTTATAAATTACTTATTCCCAAGATTAATATTTTGCTAATTATTCTGAAAGCTAGAAAGCTATTGGAAGGAAAAGAGACTAAGGTTAAGACTGTGGTTACATCATCAAAAACTTTAGCATGGCTTTCTAAACTTTTGGTCATTTTAATCATTTATATGACACCTTAATGTAATGGCAAGAAGTATAAAATTGAAACTGCAAAGCTGAGTTCCAAATTTGCTTAGAGACATGACATTGTTGCCTATGGATCTTTCAAAAATGTGTTTTTGTTGCATGAAGAACACATCCCTTCCAAAAAATAAGAAAAAAATATGATAATAATAAAATTAAAGGAATATTGTCAAAATGTCAAACTAAATTTAGAACCAGAAATAATCGGGGCGGGGGGAAGGTAAAAAGCAATAGTAAAAAGAAAAAAATATGTATCACATAATGCAAATTTTTAAAATTGCACTTTAACAAAATAAAGCTAGTATTGTCTATTTTAACAGTAATGGGTAATAGTAATTGACCACTTAATAAATGCCAGGCAACATATACCTGACACATATTGTTTTGTTCATTTCAAACAGTCTTTCTCTCAAAATGGGTATGATTATTATTCACATTTTAGATTTTAAAAACTAGGTGTCACGTGGGCCAATAAATTACCTATGTTATATATTTTATCCTGTCTTTTCACTCGACTTCATATTGTAAGCATTTCCCAAGTCACTAAACTGTACTTTAAAAACACAGACACAGATTATGGCCATCTAATTATTAAATAATTAAAAAAGTAATGACTATGTAAACAGACTATATTATATGCACCTAATCCCCAATTATTGAATACTCACCAGCATTGATAACTTAATTGTTTAGACATTGCTAATTATACATACAGCTATCGTGCAAAATTCAAATTAGAAAAATAATCATATTATTGAAACACATTTTTTTTAAATTTCCCAGAGTAATTTTTTTAATATTGAAGATCCCAAACAAATCAGTATAATGAAATATAATTATTCTTAATCTGCTGCTTTTATTAATTTTGGAATGGTGATTTTCTTTCCATGGTCGCTAAAACAATAGTTTTGTAAACATGTCTGATCTCTCCATTCTCCCCCTCCTACACACCACTCCAGAACATTTACAATTGGCCAAGGGGGCCCAAATTTCCAGCACACGTACATCTTGGAAAATCTGTACCCTGATCTCTCCCACCCCAAATCCCATTAACAAAGGCAGATACAAATTTGACTCACTATTTAAACTGATAATAACACAGCTCCTCGGGAATATCTCTCAAATGATCCTTTAACTGCGGGACATCTCCAGTGATACTGAGTTTATCCTCATCCCCAGCTGATCCCTTGGATTTCAGAAATCCCCGAGGCTTTAAAGGTTAGGCTAAGTGGACACTGATGAAATGCAGAGGTGACAAAATAGAGGTAGCACATCTTCTGTGATTTTTTTCAAAACGGGCAGTGAGGGGATTTTCTACCCATCTTAGAGGAGACAAGATTTATTTTCTGTATATTTATGTCTGCTAGAACATTCCAGAAAGAAAAGCCTTGACCCCAAATACCATCCGTGTATAAACACTTCTGTTGTATAAACCCAGAGGCAGCTAATCTTTTTTAATGAAGACAAAAGTACGTAGAAAACAATTACATTTATTTTCAATCACAGTTTACACCAAACTAATTGAAAGTAAAACTAATTAAACAAGAAAACATCAATTAGATATCTATTCTCTCTCTTGTACAATTATATTGTTTTATTGCCTATGTTTCATAATTGTTGCCAAGCAGCTTTTAAGTCCTATCATTAGTTATCCAGAGAAACACACTGGGAAGCATTATATATGTTTTGGACTCTATGGTGTTTTGCTAGGTAAGCTGCTGCTGAAATTAGGTCCTTTTTACACACAGGTGTTCTTGATACATTTTATTTTTAAAACCTCCTAACCTGTTAGAAACATTTGAGCTCATGGAGATCTAGTTCCTGAAATTAATAATTGTAGTTGCTCTGAGTACTCTGTTTATACAATAGCCAACCTGTTACCATAAACACCACTTTCCTACTCTCTTCACTCTAAGCAAGAGAGACAACTTTAAAAACAAATTGGTTTCAGTGGTTAAAGCAGTCAAGATTATGCCATTTAATGGCATTATTGAGAACACAGGTATAAAAGGAATGACATCTGTGAAAGTGGACTCTAGCTCTTTAAATACATTCTACTTTTTCTCAACCTTCCTCTCATCCTCCACTTTCTGAAACTAGCTAGTGATCATTTTAATTGATGAATACTCTTTTAAAACTAATATTTCCAAGTAACAAGAACTTATATGTTGTTTCATATAGAAGTTGTGCTGGATGTGTAATTCAATATGCAATTTGTCTGGTGAAGGACTTTTTCTCATTCTTCAGAGCCCTACTCCTACAGAAAGCTTATATCTGCTCCCAGCCTTACAAGGCTAGAATACAAGTGAGAGAAGCCAAAATCCTTTCTATCATATCTCCTTTTTATTACATCTCCCACAAGCCTGTCCTAACAAGCATATTCCCACTGATTTCTCCTGGAATTTCTCCATATTTATGCAAAGGACACATGATTTAGCTCTTGAAGACAAAACTGCATTGCCCTGTAAAGAAGTCTCTGGTGATTTACCTCTTAAACTAGATTTTAAACTCTTCAAAGAAAAACATCATTTGTGCCAGCCTTTTAACACCACACTGTCTGTGTATGAATGAACAAGGGGTGGAGGTATCTGAATAGAATCTCTATTACCTTTTGCAGATCTAGATCTTCAATTACAATAGATCTTCTTGCCTCTGCTTCCAACTATATTTTTTGTTTCAGTTTTCGATAGGTTTTTGGTTATTTGCTCTGACTCTCAGATCCGGAGTCCAATCTTCATATCGGACGACCTGCTGTGGTTCAACTACCCAACGATAAGCTTTGATGTCTGGTCCATTTGCCTGTGATGACACTTATTTGGAGCATTAGGTTTTTAGGTTTGGTCACACCTTCAGACTGTGCTGATGGCATAACTATGTACCCTTTTTGAACATGCTGTCTGGAAAGACTTTTTTCTCCTTGACCAACTTTGGTACATGATCTGTGCACTAGTGCAGCACACTTAGAGCTGAGAAAACAGACCACATGCAGTAAGACCTCTACTTACAGAAATGCCCTATTCCTTCCTACTATGGGTTCCATAGCTACCCATGATGTCCTGTTTTCTTCTACAGCCATTAAACATTTCTAGTTTTCTTTCACTTTCCCTAAGAAATTGAGAGAAATGTGTGGAAATGTGTCAGATTTATGTTTGTAGCAGAATGTCGATTTGTGAATTAATTGTTGATGCACTGTTGGTGTTAATTGGTAAACTGTAGGTATTTGTGGGGCAGATATGTGTTCTAAGAAAATGCTTGACAAAAAACTAAAAGAACTTATTTAGAATTATCAAAGTGCATCAATTTTGTTTTGCCTCTTGGGAAAAGGTTAACTTCTTTTGCCCAGAACAGGTGTTTACCACCCAGAGGTAAATGGCTGGTCCAAACCAGAATCAAATTTGAGTTGTACTGAAATGGGTTAATTGTTCAAATTCCCCACTGGTCATTGTTAGCTACACTAAAAAAAGAATATCTGTCTAGTTAAATACATGATTGATATTGAAAAATCTTTGTCATAATAGCCAAGAGTAGTGTTATGATAAATGCGGCTATGTTTCAGAGTGCAAGCTCACAGCTAGCTAGCAGTATTCAAAAATATGTGAAAAGTTGGGTAACAATTGCAGTTACATTGAAACTCACAAATACCAGTTTAGAACAGATTTATATGGAGGAAAGTCTTCTTAAAATAGTATTTCAGCTGAGATGACACTTTTTTAGTCTTTAGTCCCCAGTAAGTTCTTTCTAGTTACCAACAGCATAAAGTTCTTTCTAGTTACCAACAGCATATTTGATACATGCAGCCCTCTACCTAATTTTTAAGGATAATGAGTCCAATTTTCTTTCTTGTAGGAAGATACTGAGAGCATCTGACATACTCTCTCCATGTTATTATAACTATACAGTCTTATATTTTACAATATGCAAGAATCACTGAAAGGGTAAAATCCCTGTGCAGCATCCAATGTAAACTTCCCACCGAAAATAGGAAAGTTTGTTATGGCTGGTTTGTCATACTCATGTTGTTGCTATATACATTTTGTGACCTCCCCTTTCCTCCCCCCAAAAAATGCACTTTTTGAATTCTGATTACCAAGAAAGTGCACTCTAGACGCCCTAACAATATCACAGGCTCTATCCCTTTGTCAGAGCACTGTTCTCGAGCCCAACTGCAGGCTCCAGTGTTAGCCTCCAAGGAAATAAAAAAAAAAAATGATGGAAACCACTGACCCAGCTATCTTTCATCCACGGCTCCTGAAGCAGGAGCGGAGTTTTCTGTCGTGTGCAGATCCGTGGCCTCGAGACTGATCAGCACGGCGCCACGGCCAGCACAACCGCCAGGACACCCAGGCAATTCACTCGATGTTCTAGAAACCACGAGGCTGAGGCGTGGCCCGCAGGCTCTGGAGCTCGGAGAGAACGCCCTCCTCCGGGGCTGGAGCGTTGCCGCTGCGCATGCGCGCGGGGCCCTCGCGAGGGCGCGCGGCCTGGGCTCAGCGGTCGCCCCGCGCGCCTGCGTCTCCAGCCCCTCCTTCCGGCCGCCGGTCGGGTCAGCACCACCATGTCGCATTACTGTGGGCCCAAGTACCGGAGCGGAGACCTGGTGTTCGCCAAGTTAAAGGGCTATGCCCACTGGCCGGCCAGGATCGAGCACATGGCCCAGCCTAACCGATATCAAGTGTTCTTCTTCGGGACCCACGAGACCGCGCTCCTGAGTCCCAAACACCTCTTCCCGTATGAGGCGACCAAGGAGAGGTTCGGCAAGCCCAACAAACGGAGGGGCTTCAGCGAGGGGCTGTGGGAAATCGAGAACAACCCCAGCGTCCAGGCCTGTGACTACGAAGTCGCCCAAGAGAAGAACGGCGACGAGGAACCCGTGCTGGAGCCACAGCCCGAGGCCCCCGAGGCCCCCGAGGCTCCCGAGGCCCCCGAGGCCCAGCAGAGCGGCCCCCGCAGCGGAGATGAGCAGGGGGCACCGGGCGTCGAGGAGCCGGCCCAGGAGCAGGAGGAGAAGGAGCCACTGAAGAGGTGCCTGGAGGACCTGCTGGAGGCCACCCCCAAACGCCGCAAGGAGGCCGCCGACCCAGGAGGCGAGGAGGAGGAGGAGGAGGAGGAGGAGGTGGCGGCTGCCTGCGAGGCGGAGAGGCCGCTCCTGCTGGAGGCCTCGGAGCCGGGTCCTGCCCGGCCGCTGCCTCCGGAGGAGCCGGAGCCCCAGGAAGAGGCTGCTGACGAGAAGGAGGCCGAGGTCCTGGGAGTCGGCGACAAGGAGAGCCTGTAGTCGCCCAAGTGCCAACGCGAGCCCCTGCCCGTTCCCTCGGCGGCCCGACTGTTCCAGGAAGCCGGCCTATGAGCTGGGGCCGCCTCCCTGCCCCTGCCGGCTCCCCCG